TTCTGCAGTCAGGAGCAGGGCGTGGTGTAAGCAGTCCCTCTGATTTGGGGTTCACAATACCAGGGTGTTTGCTGAGACTGTGGTGTCCCCTGAATGTCCAGGAGGAAAGGAGTTGCTTCCAATCTCACCCTGGTTGTGGGCAGAATTCGGTTTCCTGCAGGTGTAGGACTGAGGGGTGGATCTCCTGTGGCTGTGGCTGCAGGCGTCCTCAGCTCCGAAAGGCCACAGGGAGCTTCTTTGCTGGGCTGACTGGCAGACCCTGAATGACAGATGAATGACGACTCTGACACACATTTCTGTGAAAGAAACAGCTAAGGGACTGCTTGGCTTGAGAACCCAAACAGCCTTGTTCTCCTGCCTCCTTAGGATTTTATTGTAGCAACAGCTTGAACTAAAATTAACTTCTAGATACTATCAGCAGGGTAAGTAGCCTTGAGAAGACACATGCATCTGCAGTGTCCTTTAAGCAAGGACGTCTAAAGACTAAACATAAAGATTCCAGTAAACACCTCGGGCTCAGACCTGTTTGGAAAAGTCAAGGCAGGGGCTGCCGCCTTCAGCCAGGTCCCCCAGAGGCCCGCGACCTTTAAGAGATTCCTCCTTCCAGACTTTCCAACCAAGTCCTGTGCTTCCCCACACTTCTTGATCTGTGGGCCTCACCAGCCCAGCCACTTGCTGCTGCATAGCCCACAGAGCAGAGGGCCAGCAACCCCAGCAGAATGAGTGCTGCAGTCTGTGTGAGTGGAGATTTTCAAGTTTCCAGCACCAGAACCCTATGCCCAGTTGAAACTCCAAATTGTCAAAACATCGCTGCTCCACAGATATGGGAAGGGGGCCCACGTGACCAGCATGAGAGCCCTGCCCCAGTCCACGGAAGACCTTCGCGCTGAGAGGAACCCCGTGATACCCTCACCAAGGTAGTTTGAAACATGACATTGTCAAAAAGAATTTGCCCTTAACCCGTCTCCCCCATCTTTCCTAAACATGTCTTTCCTCTTTCCCTCCCCTCAGGAGGTGGGCAGTTACATTCCAAAATCTGTGTGAGGGAGACAACTCACTGAGCAGGGAACAGTTCATCAAGGTAGAGCGAGCCTGGAGGTCTGCAGAGAGGAGGGTGTGAGGGAAGGGGGGACTGCACAGGATGCGGCTGTGGTAGTTTGTCACTTAAAGATTCTCTGAAAATGTTCACCCTCTCGGTCCTGATTACCAGGAAGAGGGACCTGTTTGGTCCATGGGCAGGTGGTGGGGGGCAGTTTCAAGGGCAAGAGACCCGGTCATGGCACACAGGGTGGTGGCCGGGCTGTTCCAGGCTGGGGTGCAGAGCTGGCACATTGAGCGGGTCTCTGGCTTCCATGTGGGCCCCTCCTGCTGGCCCTTAGCTTCCTCCAGGCTGTTGGGTGAACAGGTGGGTGGGGTATGTTTCTTCCCCAAACCAGCCCAGCCTGTCCTCAGGATGCCAGGGCCCTGCTGCCACTTCTGTCTTCTCCACACCTCCAAGGGGAGTGCCTCCTGCCTGTCCCAGGGATGAGGATTCCCACAGGAAAGGGGAACAAAAAGGCTGCTTGACCTCAGGTCCCACTGGCTGGACTAGAGACAGAGGGGTGTGCTCCCTGAGACTTCCCACTGTGCCCCTAGAGCACCCAGTCAGTCTCCTCATCATTGACACGGAGGGGTGACCATCCTGTACTGCAGGCCTCACAGGGGGGTCATGAGTTCAGGGCAGAAAACGACTGTGCAGAGCTCCCTGCCCTGTCCCTCCTGGAGCGCTGAGGGTGAGAACAATGATGACAGTAGTGAGACCGAGTCCTTAGGAGAACCTGTGAGCTAGGCAGAGGTCTCCCACTTTCCAAAGGACGGAACGGGTCAGGGAGCCAGGCCCAGGCCTAAGGTCACACACAGCGAGTGAGCGTTGTAGCTGGGAGTCGTCCAGAATCAGAGCATGCTGGAGTCGGGGTGGCACTGGTACCAGCTGACTTGGGTCAAATGTCCAGGGTGTGAGGTCAGGTGTGGTGGGGGGAATGGGGTGAGGTGAGCATGACCTCTATGACCCTTCCCTCCACTCTGGCGGAAGCAGCCCTCCAGGTTTGCCTGATGCAGAACATCCAAAGGTCCAGAAGAGGCTTCAGAAGAAGGTGAGGGAGCCTGTCTGGGGGGCACTCAAGGGTCAGAGGAGAGGGGGGATCGAATACCCCCACCCGAGTCAGACCTGCGGGGGCTGCCCCATGATCTCCACCAAAGCCCGTGTAAGGAGCTAAGTCCTTAAGGACTGAAGAAACATTATCTGGAAAAAATTAAATGGAAATTGTACTTTACAAAAGGAGAATGATGAACTGAACCAGAGGCAAGTCTTCTGAGATACACTCCATAGTGAGGTGATAAAGGGAAGGTAGAGGACTAAAAGAAGGTAATGTGAAATGTAAAGATAAGGTGAAAGAAACTTGAGTAAAACATTTAGTACAGTGAAAAACTATAAGAACTAAAACCATTTAAGAAGTTGTGACTTTATATGATATTAAAATAGATTTTTTTCTTCAACTATGTGAGAATGAGATTTTAAAGAGAAGAAAATCAAGGAAAACGGAATAGCAAGAAGCTTAAAGAATGGACAGATGAGGTTGAATAGAATGGAAATTGAAATAAATATAAATTTACCAGCAGAGAGCAAGGCAATTGAGAGTCCTAAGACTATTCTGAGAAATGAACAAGGCAGAATAGACCCATGTAGAAACAAGAAAATGTGTGTGGGGATGAAGGAAGGAACAAAACTGAGATATTTGTGGGTCTGTGTTTTGCTGTATTAATGTCTGTGATACAATTAGTCAAGTGCATGAACTTCTGAATTGTGGCTAGTCATGGGATTTATTTTTACAAATACAATTTGGTTCAGAAAAAATTAAAACAACTGCCAACCTTTAGGCAAAACCAAACCGGCTCATCTTTCCAGGTGAATTACACTAGACACACTTCTTTATCCTCATCTTCAATACTCAAATACACACACAATTTAAATCTTGAGACCAATTTCTTTATCTTTACAATAAAGAAATTGGATTAGATTTTTTTCTTTTTAAAAATAAAAGTAGATTATTAAAAAATAATTTGTGATTATAGGTAGAAAAGTTTAAAATAAGTGATCACCCACATACTAAATTGGAAATAATTACATATATTTTTATACATATCCTTTCAGATATGCTAGTCATATATGTAAATATGCACTTATCTATATTTTTAAATCATGTTATATTTGTTTGATAATATATTCTACTTCAAATGTTAAAAATGTTTCTGAAAAATAACATCTAGTATCTTTTCTCCTGCTACGTCATAAATTATATAATTTACCTCTAATTAATGGACTTAACATTATTTTGTTTTCTGCTTTATGAATAATTCTGTGACAACCTCTGAACATTTATTCAATTATTTTCTCTCCCTTTTTTTTAAAGGGCAATGACTGATAAGGTTCCAGGGGAATCAAACCATGACCTCCTGGAAACATGGAGGTAACATGTTTTGTTCCCCTTTCCCTCATTCTTTATAGAAGGAAGGACAAAGCACCCAGCCCCTGGCCTCTTTGGACCCCTTACCACGAATTAACCTTTCATTGGGGGGCCTATTCTTTTTTAAAAATATATATTTTATTGATTTTTTACAGAGAGGAAGGGAAAGGGATAGAGAAGCACCCAGCCCCTGGCCTCTCTGGACCACTTACCACGAATTAACCTTTCATTGTGGGGCCTATTCTTTTTCTTTTTTTAAAAAATATATTTTATTGATTTTTTACAGAGAGGAAGGGAAAGGGATAGAGAGTTAGAAACATGGATGAGAGAGAAACATCCATCAGCTGCCTCCTGCACAATCCCTACTGGGGATGTGCCTGCAACCAAGGTACATGCCCCTGACCGGAATCGAACCTGGGACCTTTCAGTCCGCAGGCCGATGCTCTATCCACTGAGCCAAATCAGTTACGGCTGTGGGGCCTATTCTTATGTCACTGATGCTGTTCCAGTGTGTCCTCTACCTGTAACAAACTGTAGGCAGGAGGTATTCCTGTTTAACTGGCCCTTAGTTATACAAGGGAGCATCTCTCAAATCCTTGTCCCCAAGTCTGGTTCTGGAAGAACCCAAGTTAGACAGTGCACCGTGAACCAAGGATTATTCACAAGAGTGACCATGTTCCCAGACATAAAGTCTCAGCATGTTTAAAAAAAAAATGGAAATCATGTAAAACATGTTTCCATCCCAATAGCAATTGAGCAAGATGATTAGAAAAATTCCCAATTGTTTAGAAATTAAGAAACACAATTTTAAATTTCTATATCTGAGATAAATAAAAAAAAAAAAGCAAAGTAGAAAGTCATACTGTATGGGAAATTTAAGTGCATGCATTAGAAAAAGACTGAAAATCAGTGAGCTAAACAATCACGTCAAAAAGGCAAATAAACAATAACCAAAAAAAAACCATGCCCCCAAAACAAAACAAACATTAAATCCAAAAAGAAGGAAATAAAGAAGAAAATTAAAAATTAATATACAAATAGAGACATCAACAAAGCCAAAACCAGATTCTGTGAAAAAGTTAATAAAATTGAGAAAGTCCTGTCAACATGATGAAAAAAAAAAAAAAAGGACAAATAACCAACA